CAGCACAAGGAGTATGCAAAGGAGAAACAGATCACATATCAAGGTATGTCGCATTTCTCTGCCTCCATGTCTGCAATGGGCACTCTACACTAATGTATCCCCCTTATACAAACAACAACTAGCCAAGTCTAATAACAAAGTAGGAAAGGAAAACGGATAACATTGTCTCTCAGCCATTCTACCACAGATATCCACAAACAGTGGCCCACTGTTACACCTGGAGCTGTAGGACAAGACACCCACACAGAAATGGGGCCTTCCTGGGAATGTGAACCCTTATCTCAAGGTACGACCCTTGAACATCCTCTGTATATCCCTCACTAAACACTCCAAAGTGTACACACTACGCTAATATCCATGACCGGAGCATCTCCGCTCGCCCCCAGTATGAAGGCCAGATACTGGATCGATAGCCCTCTCAGTAAAGCACAACCACCTTTACTGGTGAGCACTTAGTACTCTCCCCTTATAATTAATTGCTTCCTCAAGAATCAGGCCCAGGGCATACACAAATGGAAAACTAGGACCTACAGCCCAGCTTTCAAATCACTAAATGATGGAATGAGCAAGTATATTTTTACCTGAGGGCTACCAATGAGCAACTGTGACTGGGCCCTGTGGAGAGAAAACAGCAGCATACTCGACACACATGTTTATCAAAAACAAATGAGCACCTAACTGCAGGTAATGTCTGCTGCGGCATACTTTACTATTCTAATGTTATCCTCTCTATAGAGGCAACCAGGGAGCCATTTAACTCGGATCCTACCCCTCCCCAATGCCACGCAGACATCCAAGGAAGCCTACAGCAGCCATGTCTAGTGGGAAACCAGTTGCCCCTAATGTTGAGCTGCCATCTACTGTCTGCCCCTCTTTCCAGGAACACAAAACAGCATGCACAACACACATTTTTTGGGTGGGGCAATTTTGTGGGGTAGTTGGGCTAGGAGACAGTAACCCACCCCAGCAATCATCATAGCCAAGTGGGGATTCAGATGCAGATCTCCAGCATCCTAAGCACATGCGCCAACGACTGCATATCACAAAGGCAGTTTACCATCCAATTCGGATTGGGGCAATGGAGGCTTGGAGAGAGTTCCTCACTTCCTCTCCATGCTGGTAATTAAAGCAGTCCCTTAACATACCACACACAGTTCTTAAATCCAGGAAGAGAAACAGACAAGAACCGTCTTTGTTCCTCCCTCCCTCACTATTTCAGAAAAACAGCAGAGAATGGAGTCACTTTCTGCTGGAGAAATTGTGTCGTCGTCCCCCCCGCCCAAGTACCATGGCTCTAATATCGGGACCTCTGCAATTGCTACTGCCCTTCCAAAAAAAATGTTGTCTCATGGGGTTTGGCCCCAAATAATTTACGCCTCTGGTAGTGGATCAGCCTTGCAAAGAATTTGTGAAAATTCTGAAGCCTCTGGTACTATTCAGAAGCTCAACAACATTTAATTTTTTGGAGAAACATTCAGGGCTTTTCTATAACTTAAGTAGATTAATATGTATTTTGATGCCTTTTAATATGCGTACTTCAGTCTCTAATGGGATGTGTGTTTGCAATGATATTTGGAGGGTGGGCTTCCTGAGTGTCATTGTGAGCCTCAGTACCTCATGAAGGACCCTGATGTTTCTCAGAAGGGCAAAGGTGACTAGAGAGTCTACATACAGGCCTCCAACACACTGAGCTCTAGAGGTAGCTGGCTGCTGTCCTCCTCTGCCTGACCCAATCTTTTCCACCTTCGTGCTCTGGGTGCCCCTAGGTTTGTTTCCGGCAAAAGGGTTGCAACACCCTTTTCTGCTCTGCTGCTAGTTGTGTTTGGGTTGTCAGGTTTTGCTAGTTGCGTTTGGGATTTGACCAGCTCTCTGAGAGCTTGTGGCTGCAAGCATCAGCAGCTGCCCCTCCTATCAGCTGGGCCAGGGAGTCCTCTCATAACTGGGCTCTTTGTGATAAAGACAGAATAAAATGAGGCAACATCACCAAGCTGTTTGTGCAATCGCCATGTGCAGATTAATACCTTCCACACATGACTCATCTGGGGTCATCCTCAGTTCACAACAGCCCAATTTTGGGGCAGCTTCAGAGATGCCAAAGTTGCTGCAGGAGCATCTGACGGAGTTGCAACCTTCTCTGTCATTTGTACAGCCATTCTTACACGGTCTAATTTTTGGCATTGGAAATGTACAGGACTGCACCCATGCTATGTTGGTTGCAGGGCTATAGGATTTAGCCAACAACAGCGGGTAGATGTAAGACCTTTATGCCCTCTTCCTCTGTGTGCTTCAGTCAGCAAATTTTCTCCTGAAAAGGACCTTGGTTTGACAGCAAACCTCCTTGCTGACAAAGCAAAGGTATTACTTTTTCTTATCAACAAAAAGAATCTCTGCAATATCGAACTATTTGATGTTCAAAGTCTAAGCCCAACAAAATTTTAATGCAGAGGTTTTTTCACCTTTTTAGCTAATGTGGCAACATGCCTCCCATATGGGGTTTTGATCTATGCTGTTCAATTATTTAGATTTAATCTCTATTGCAAGCTAAGGAAAGAAAGTTATTATTTATTTAATTAATTAATTTATACCCTACCCTCCCTGCTGAAGCAGGCTCATATTTATCATATTGTCTCTGATTATTAAAATCCCAAGAAGTAAAACTTGTACAAATAAAAAATCTCCTCCCTTGCCAGTGCCTTTATAGTCACATATCTTTGCCCACTAAAAATGAATTTCTCACTCTGTTCTTGACTGAATGTGGATGATGCTTATGAAGGTGCATTTTCACCTTTTTCTACAGCAATGATGCATAATGTGGGGGGCAGAGGCCTTCCTAGGGGTCAATAAGAACACTGGGGGACAAATAGAGGGCACTTGGGATTTTTGGCTACCCCTTCTCACCTACTTCTGGACAGCCAGAAAAAGAGAATTGTTTTATACTGTTGACTCCTATAAAGTCTCTGGCAGTAAAAGCCCGAATTCTTCCAGCTGCATTTCACCTACAAACTTTCCTGCATTTGAGATTGCCAACCTGGCTGTGCTGATCCACATAAGAGCAACCTCAAGGTGTGACTGTTGTAATGTGCTTGAAAGGAGGCTGCTCTTGAAGACAACACAGAAACTACACCTGGTGCAGAATGAGGTAGATTGTGTACTATCAGGGGCTAGCAGTAGGGAACATACTACTATGGTTGTACAATCACTGCACTAGTTACCTATAATGTTCCCACATCCAAGTTAAAAACTACTGTCCTATATTATACAGGTTCCTTATGTGATCCCCTCTCACAATTCCTAAATGAAGATATTCTTTTATTTTTAAAGAACCCAGCAGGGGACATTTTGCGTAGTATACCTTGATCCTTCCTGGTCCTGGTTTTTAGTATTCCACAGTCTGGGGTTAGGAAGGATTCAAAATCAGTTCCTCAACGAACACGATCTCTCACAAACCTCAACAAAAACTTCAACAGTTCTTTATAAACTATGTAATCAGCACATTTTGAAATAAGTACTGCTACACACGTCACAGGACCACCCTTATTACAGTTTTAAATGTTCTTTACAAATAGGGTTGTTAGCCAGAGTTTAAAGTAAAAGAGAACAGGCTATAAGCAAAACAGATTTTTATTGGCCATAACTCCAAATGATTCTTCTTGTTAAAGGGACTGCCATGACAAAACACAGTGTCTTCGTGTCAGGAAGTGGAAAGCTGGACTATTCTGATGGCTATTAACGAATTTCATGGATGGACCATTGCTGTTACCCTCATCAACCGAGATAGCTACAGGTTATATTCTGAGACCAGCGCAACACATTCCAACTGAACAGGACATTCCAAATGACCATTCTTTCTTTGCAGCACCTACCCAATTAAATTTTTCCTGTTAACTTGAGGTTGACATTTGTCACAGAAGGGTAATAAACACTAGCAGAATCGCTCCCGTTGTATGGCTCAAAATTAAAGTTCAGATCCAGCATCCTGATCCTAAATGGCTGCTTCACAAAGCATCCCTAGAAGCATATTACTTCAGCACAGTAAAACCGATGTGCACAGGTCACTGTTTTCCTACATCAAAGGAAATCTCACTTTTTTCCAAAGGAATTTGCCCCTGAGTAGCATTTGAGTCACAGGCCCAAATGGGTATTCACCCTGCATCAGTGATTATTTACTAACAGAGGAGAAGAACCAGGCTCGGGCTCCAAAGTTCCAGCCAGCCCGTTCACCCGCAGAGGCTCACCCTTTTTACAGAGAGATCGTGCCTTTCGATCCCCCAACTGCAGCACTTGCGGCGCTCGCTGCCCCTGGTGGGAAGGAAGCAGCAGCAGTTGCTTTGCGACCTTAAACTTACTCCTCACAGGCCGCCTCGCCTGCTCTGCTTTCCACTCTCGCCGGGAGCCAATAACGGGCCAGCCACAGCAGGGCGGATGCACGTGGAGCCGCGATCTGATGCCAGCCCCGACTGAAGTTTTCCCCCCTGGATTTTTTTTTTTTTTTTGCAAGCGGCGAAAGTGCACAGACGCGCCCCCCCGATTTGCATGAACGCTGCCTGGAAACAGCACCCGGCTCCCTCCACCCTCCCCCGCCAACTCCGCTTCCGAGCAGCCCCCTCAACAGCCAGCCGTGTGTGTCAGCGGTTCCCAGCCAACCACCGGCCGCTCCTTGCGTGGGCGGGGGGGGGGGGGGGGGGAGAGAGGGAGGAAGAGATCCGGCGGCTTCAGTGTCCCCGCGCGCTCCCACCCCTCGCATCCTCGCAAGCGCGGGATCGGCTCCGGTGGCTGCCTCGCCTCGCCTAGCCCGGCCCGTCGCCTCCGCCAGCGGCTGGACACTCCAAGTCGGAAGGGGAGTGGGCGCGCTCTGCCCTCCAAGAGCAAGCAGTCTCTAAGGGGGGGAGCGTGCGCCCCGCAAAGCAACAGCTGGGCGTCCGTCGCCCAGACCTTCCGCTTCGGGGACGAGTTGCCGCGAGGGCCCAGCCCGGAGCAAGCTTGCCAAGCCGGCGCCTTACCTTCTCCTCGGACTCAGCAGCGGACAAATTTAAGGTGGCGATGGAGCCTGACAGAGAGGGAGGTGGCGAGGTAGCGGCGGCAGAGACCAGCCCGGCTCAGTCACGCTGCAGAGGCGGGGAAGGGAAACAGGGGCGGGGTCCGGAGCCTTGGGCTCCGGCACCGCTAGAAAGGAAGGAAGAAGGGAAAGGCAAACGAGCGCGATTCCCAGACTAAATTGTGGGCTGATTCTGACGTAACAGTAGTGGCGGGAGGCAAAGAGGAAGAGATCTGGCAAGGGGCGTGCGTGACGTCATGATGCTAGTGCAGTGGAACCGAAGAGAGAAAACGTGCATTTGGGGAAGCGGAGAGTACGTGCAGAGCTGGCATCTGTCCGTCGTTTTAACGCTCCAGCCCTACGCATATTTTTCACTCTCGCATATACATTTTTTTTTGGAAATCAGTCTCACTGAAGTCCATGCGGGTCTGCATGCTGCAATCCTGTGTCGATCATTTCAGAGGAGCAGCCCTGTTAAGCTGGGATCGCACGCATTAAATAGTGCACTTTCAATACACTTTCCAACTGGATTTTGCCAGTTCACACAGTAAAATCCAGTTGGAAAGAGCATTGAAAGTGCATTATTTAGTGTGTGTGATCACAGCCTTAGTCAATAAACAGGAGTTCCTTCCAGGTTAAAGATTAATAAAATTGTATTGTTGTGTAAAGTTTTGTTGATTATAGTTTATAATACCAGTTTGGTGTAGTGGTTAAGTGCCCTGACTCTAATCTGGGAGACCGGGTTTGATTCCCCACTCCTCCACTTGCAGCCACTGGATGACCTTGGGCAAGGCATAGTTCTGGCACAGCTGTTCTTGAAAAAAGAGCAGTTTCTGTCAGAGCTCTCTCAGCCCCACCTACCTCACAGGGTGTCTGGTGTGCGGAAGGGAAAGGAGTTTATAAACCCTTTGAGACTCGAGTGAAGGGCGGGCTATAAATCCAATCTCCTCTTCCTCTTATACATGAGCCTATATAGAGGTAGGGACGTCCCCCACCTTAGCATAGTATTGGGATCCACTTTGAATAGGATTGGAGGTTTACTGAAGAGTAAAATTCCACTTAGTGTAGCGTGTTTTTTCAACTAAACATACACCAATGGAATGGGTTTTTCCCCCCTGCTGAAGGCTGCAGTCACACACACCAAATAATCTACTCTCAAACCACTTTCAGTGTACTTTTTAACTGGATTTTACTGCGTGAACTGGCAAAATTCAGTAGGAAAGTGCATTGAAAGTGGATTAATTAGTGTGTGTGTGACCGCAGCCGAAAAGCAATTCAGAGGATGCAAACCGTTGCCTAGTCATCTAGGAGTATGTTTTATGGAGCTCAGTGGGGATTTGCAGTGGGGGGGGGGGGGGATACATAACCAGGCAGCACAAGTTAAACTGTAAACCTCCCGTGGTTATACTTCTAGGAACAGACTTCCAAGGTATGCATGACGCCAGCTTCAGAACTGTCACTGAACTGCTCTAAGAATGGCCACCTAAAGTTTGTTGTGTTCAGATAGGACAACTTATTTCATAGGTAAAGAAAATAAAAGACCAAAGTAACTCAGGAGGTGACACACATCCCCCCCCCCCCCCCGGCCCTAGCCGACTTAGTCTCGAGTAACCCCCTCCTGGACCCCTAGGCTTCTTATTTCGCACTTTATAACACGCTTTCTAGGCTGTAAATTGTAAATAAAGGCCCTGATCACACGAGCGGGAAAATCCGCACTGGAAGGGAGTCATTTTAGAGGTGGAGCTAAAAGAACCACAGGAGTGCGATCTTACACTCCCCCGCGGCTCCATTCTCCCTCCGTCGGCACCCGAACACACTGGGGAGGCAACGAGACAACACAGTGGTCCTGCGTTAGGGTCACGGACGGCTGCAGGATGCTACAGGCTGCCAGTGCGTCCGCGATCCCACGCCCGACGTTGCTGCAGATCTTCCAGTAGGTACTCCATTTTCCCTAGTATCATTTCGATCCACATTTTTGACCGGATGCGATGGGTTAGGGGCGGGTGCACGACGCTTGCCAGATGTTGGCGTCTGATCGCGCCAGTTTGATCTGCCCTTAATCCGTCCCCTCTGCATACCTAATTCTCCGTGTGACCAGGGCCAAACCTGGCCAAATTTGACCTCAGAGTCAAATCCATCTGGGATGGATGGGAGTGGTAGTCGGGGTGCAAATTCTCTCAGGGCATCCTAGGAGGACATGGAGCTAAGTCAGAAGAAGTTGGAGCCAGGCTGGGAGCAGGTAAGAGGCACAGGTGCTGGCTGCAGGCTGGTCCTTCAGGTGACTTGCACTTTGCAATCCCACCTCCACGCTGGTTGCCCCTTTGCTCCTCTGCGCTGGAGATGGCGGGGCCTCTTATCCTTCCAGTCCCTCTGGAGTGGAGCCCCGGCGAGGTGAGCTCAGGCAATAGCTCTCTTTTTCCCCGCGGGGGGAGGGAAGGTCGGAGGCTCATCCTTGGCTTGGATCTCCCCCCCCATCTCGCTCAGTAGAGGGGGCAGGTCCCAGCAGAGCTCACTTTTGTTTCTCTTCCCCACTGGTGGGTCACCCCATGAAGTCGGCGGCGGAGGTGTCCAATCAGAGCCGCGAGGGAGCGGTGCTGAGGAGGGAGCTGTGAGGGTCTGGACGGGGCAACCCCTCCCCCCACCGAAGGGCCACAGCAGCTAGTGGGCAGGCAGGGTGGGAGGTTGCTGTGGCCAGTGGTTGGACAACTGGTGGGTGGGGAGGAAAGGAGTCCTTGCCCGATAATAAAACATCTGTGTATGAAAAAACCTAAAGTGTATCATCATTTCCAAGATGTCTCTCTGCTACCTTTTTTTTTAGCCACCATTCACAGGAAACTGGAGAAAAAGCACCAAGATGCTTTCTAGTGTCATCTCTAGGAATGAAACTCAAGTGTTGTACAGAGAATTATCTCATACATTTGCAGGGGGGAAACCTTTTTTTAAAAAAGTGCAAACCTTTGAGTTACACAGAGCTATTATATACAGACAGAATAATGAAGGGTTGTGTACACTGAGAAAACCTGCATATCTTACAACAGCCAGGAGCTGACTGGAACAGAATATTCTCAATGACAAAGAAGTTCACAAAGTTTCCGCAATCAAGATAACTACCAGCCAAAGTTAATAATCTTTTTAAAAATGCAGCGAAGAAGAACTTCAGATTCCTTTCTAAGACCAGCAAACTGCCTGGTGAAGTCCCAAAAGCAGAGCTCAGCCACCACACAATTCAGATAAGTGTTCATGTGCAAAAGCTTTAGAGTGGCTGCTGGCAGTTTTTCCCCATCCCCTGCAAAGGGCTCAAGGCAGGATACAAGACCCTTGTGCATTACCACAACCCCTCTGTCAGGCTCACGGTCACCAGTGGAGGTTTCAGTCACCAGAATCTCTCTCCTGTGCAAAAACATAAATCTCTCGTCCTATATGAAATCAGCTCTTTTCCTGTTGTAACTGCTGCTGACTGCAATGAAATAGAAGGGTCAGAGTCCCCAGACAGCACCACAGTCAGGTGAGGGGAGTGGGCGTCATTTAGATAAGATCAACTTTTTAAAAAGATTAGAGAGAGAGAGAGAATATATTTCTATCTGACAATTAACACAGTTAACATCCATCCATGTCTCCAAATGAAAAAGTTACAAACTGGTCATCTGAGAAAGTGCATTCTTTCAAAAGAATCCCAAAAGAGCTAGTGCCGATACCAGAGCTTACATCCTTGCCCATCTCATGAAGAGGAAGGCTACAGACTTGCACCTCTGGCAGATTCTGAACTGTCACCCAAGACCATCTACTCCAGAGCACATCAGAGGAAGAGCAAATGGGTGGAAGGGGGGCTTGCTGCAGATATGCCAGATCACAATGATAAAGACTGCAGAATGTGGCCATACTTTGTATCTGGCGATCTGATCCCTAACCAATTATGATGGCCATCTATTGTGGTCTGCAAATTGGCCATCAACAGTGACAGCAATTGTTACAGTGCAGCATTTGTATGGATGCTGAGGTTGATAGCAGCTGCCTGTGTTGGGTTGTTGTGAGCAAAGAGGACTTAAAGCTGTGTGACCTTCAAAACCGGTATTTGTAGGGAAGTCATTTTACTGATTTGGAGGACTCTTTTGATGTATGAAATAAATGAGTACTGAAGGAGTATTTCCATTAGCACTGCAATTATGAAGTACTCTTCAGAGTCAGCTATTAGCCAGACTCTCTCCATCATGTCTCCCTGCTTAATGCTATTAAATTACACGTTGGTGAGAGTCCAGGGTTCATCTGCCAGATTCTGCATTTGATTGGAACATTCATTAGGAGCTCTTCATTAAATAACCCAGGATTCATTAATAAGGATTCTTGGTGTAGGGTGTGATCCTAGAAAGTTCTTCCTAAGAATAAAAGCTTGATTTTTAACATATGGGGAAATGCTTATGATTCAAGGCCTAGTTAACAATTTCTGTAACTACTCTAATTTGATCCAAAAGTTGGAGCTTCTTTTTATTTATTTTTAGTGCATTAGTTTTATATTAAAACTGGTGCCTGTGTGTTCAAGTAGTGTAAAATGCTACATAATGTAAGAATGAAATAAAAATGGCACATAGCATTGTTATTGTTATTATTTATTCAATTTGTTAATTGCCCTATCCCAGCTTATGCTGGACTCCGGGCAATGTACAAGGGGGCATAATGCCATAAAAATATATAAAACATTAAAATTCAGTGTACAGTTTTGTAGAGAACAATTCAAGGGTTTAAATGATTGTCTATTGATTATTGCTGATGTTCCAGGAATCTTTTGGAGAGATTCTTTGGGATTCTCCAAGAGAATTAACAAACTGTTAACCACTAAGCAGAATTGTAGAAACAGGTGTTTTAAATTTTATTTAATTGACAGCAAAGGAATCTCTTAATGAGCAGGTGTTCTTATGTCAGCTTTTTAAATTAGACTGGTACGAACCATCTCAGCTAGACCTGTCATAAGTAAATATCGATGTTCCAGCCTTTGCTTCAAAGAAAACAGTTTAGAAGTTCATTACAGCCAGGATCATTTTGTAGAAAAAGAGGTGCAGGAGCTCATTAGCATAACTCATTGGCATAACTTATTTGCATATGCCACCCCCCCC